TTATGAGATAAAAATCAATGTTAGGCTTTGCATGTACCAAAAAAAAAGAAAATAGGTGAGCTAACCTGGCAGTGTAATAGGACTCTTGAAGTTTAATGATATACAAAAGGAGGGCAGGCATGTTTTGGAGCAAATTTCTGGTTAATTTTGGCATATTCGACCCTATTTTTTCTTGAGAATTACATAAAAATAAAGCTACACCATGCTTTTAAGGGTCCTAGAAAGGATGCTAGCGAGTTTGGTGAGCAGACTTTATGAACACTTGTAGAAGCTGTCTGTATGTGCCAAGGGACTGGCGCCTCTTCCTTTCACACCTCCTTGCAACTCAGATAATTTTTTGTCATTATTATTTTTATTTTTAAATCAGCATAGCTGAAAAGCCAGCAAGGCTCAAGTATTAACACATTTAGCATTTGGAAATAAGCAACAGTGTATTTCATGAATGCTTGCTTTTCACTTTTTTGTGTAGGCAGAATATTAGTCCCGGTATTTTGTTATCCCTGTTTCTAGCACTCAGATAGGCTTTTTATTAGCTTTTTGCTCCAGCCTTCAAGAGAATTAAAACTGAGGTGGTCTCATGGCTTCTAAACCCTTGACTGGCCAAGGTCAGCCTCATGGTGAGCCCTTCCTGTATTTAATTAGTGAAGCACAAGTACCTTATACCTATTAAATGACCCCCTTGCATCTTCAATCCCTTAGCCAGTTCCTTCTTTCATACGTTTTTCTTTCTGAGGTGTGTTTCTTCCATGGTTCCTGCCAATTTTCCTCTTTCCCTGGGATGCTCTGTAACAACTAAGCTTGTCCCAGTAGGTCCAGTTTAAAATCCTGCTTTCCATTACAGCTTAAAGATACAACGCTTAGAGTGCAGCGCTGTTTTGATCCCGTGTCTGAGGTGTGAGCAGCACCGTGCTGCAGAAATGCCAAAGTCATCAGAGCTTTACTGCTACCTCTCTTCGTGGAATCTTTGCTCAGTATTTTATTTTCATTTCTGCTTTCAGTGAATATTTAGTGAGCTCTGATTATATAATTGAATTTGATAAACTGATGGTATGTGATTGATGAGAAAATCAGGAATAAAAGATTAGAAGATAAAATTACTTCAAGGGTTTAAGTAAATCTTCCAGAGAGCTGGGGTAATTTATAAACCATGCCATATTCTTTATAAAAATATTCCTGTAGGTCTATTAAATTTTAGCTTCTACCAGAATTGGATTGAGTTTTGAGAATGACTTTCATGTAATACGAGCTTGATTGTGATACTTTAAATGGGAGATAGCTCTGAGTGGGTTGCAGCATCATTGGGTTTGGAATATTTGAGTAGCAAATGTAAGGCTGAATGATAGACTTGTGGGCAGCAGTCTTTGTCTTTCAAATAAATCATTTTTTCTTGGAAAGGTGTAAGTTAGGAGGAGTAAATGGATAATTCAGAGTGAAATAATGAAAGAGGTTATGCTGCTCGAGTCTTTAAATTGCTGAAAAACAGGATCAACAAATTACTTGGGTAGAAGATTATAGTGCAGATTCCAGTTTCAGTGTAATCTCCCTGAATGGCTCAACTTTCCTGAAGAACAGAGTAGTTTAACAAGCTCATTTCATGATCCTCTCTATACATCAAGTAAGCATCACTGTTTTCAGGGATCAGTGCTGGAACCGGTCTTGTTCAACATCTTTGTCGCTGACATGGACAATGGGATTGAGTGTGCTGTCAGCAAGTTTGTCGATGACACCAAGCTTGTGTGGTTTGGTTGATATGCTGGAGGAAAGGAATGCCATCCAGAGGGGCCTTAACACGCTTGTGAGGTGGGCTGATGCCAACCTCATGAACTTTAACTATGACAAGTGAAAGGTCCTACACCTGGGTCGGAGCAATCCCAGACACAGCTACAGGTTGGGCAGAGAAGAGATTCAGAGCAGCCCTGCGGAGAAGGACTTGGGGGTGCTGGTCGATGAGAAAATGAACATGAGCTGGCTTCAGTGTGTGCTTGCAGCCCAGAAAGCCAGCCGTATCCTGGGCTGCATCAAAAGGAGTGTGACCAGCAGGTTGAAGGAGGTGATCCTGCCCCTCTGCTCTTGTGAGACCTCACTTGCAGTATTGCGTGCAGTTCTGGTGTCCTCAACATAAAAAGGGCATGGAGCTGTTGGAACAAGTCCAGAGGAGGCCACGAGGATGATCGGGGACTGGAGCACCTCCTGTATGAAGATAGGCTGAGAAAGTTGGGGCTCTTCAGCCTGGAGAAGAGAAGGCTGCGTGGAGACCTCATAGCAGCCTTCCGGTATCTGAAGGGGGCCTATAGGGATGCTGGGGAGGAACTCTTCATTAGGGACTGTAGTGATAGGACAAGGGGTAATGGGTTAAAACTTAAACAGGGGAAGTTTAGATTGGATATAAGGTAGAAATTCTTTCCTGTTAGGGTGGTGAGGCACTGGAATGGGGTGCCCAGGGAGGTTGTGAATGCTCCGTCCCTGGTGTTGTTCAAGACCAGGTTGGATGAAGCCTTGGTTGAGATGGTTTAGTGTGAGGTGTCCCTCCCCATGGCAGGGGGGGTTGGAACTGGATGATCTTAAGGTCCTTTCCAGCCCTAACTATTCTATGATTCTATGACTTGGCATTGCTATTTCAAAGGACTCTGTTGCAACCTCTTCCCCTAAATACCAGCACAACTCCCTGCCTTCTATTTCCAGAGGAAGTCTGACATCTGTAATGTTGCAGGGATAGAATGTGTGTCTTGTAACTCATTAGGAGACTTCCCAAAATATATGTGAAGTCTCTGAAAGGATTTAACGTTTCCTCCCTTGTTTAGAAATAACCATGTAAAAAATTGCTTATTGCTCTGGGTAAAATGACTGTATTCCACTAACATCGTCTAACCCTGACTTAATTTTTTCTTTATAAGGTTTTAAAATATTGGTTGATTTTATGAGTTAGGAGAAAATGGGAATTGAGATAAGACTTATTCACAATATTTGCGTCATTAAAACAAAAAAAAATAAAGCAGCTTTGCAGAATGTAATCTTAGTCATGTAATAAAGTGGAGGAGTGCAAAAAAATGGTTTAGGTTTGCTAGGAACTATCTGATAGTATGGAACTGTTCCTATTTTCTCATCCATTGAACTGTCATAGCTTCCTGTATGTCCAATTTAAAGAAAATATTACTGCTCTGCACTAGCCCTCAATCAGGTTGCTTGAAAAACAAATCTGTTAACATGCTATGCATCAGCAAAGGGCCTTACCTCAAAATACTTAATTCAGTTTGCATTTTGTGCAGTAGTTTATACATATTGCTTTGAGATGACTTGCTTTTTCACTGCAGAAATAACTATCTTTCTGAAGTTAAATTCTAAAAACTAGGAAGAGAATTTGTTAGTGCAAGCCATCAAGTGCGTATGCAGCTGATGTGCAACTTTACTGCCAGTAAAGAGTTTGGCAACCTGTGATGCCTTGACCATGCTCAGCTGAAGCACCGCTGCTACCCTGGGGCTGTGCGATTCGGCTGGTGGGGACCTTGTGTTGCCATGGGAAGTCATAACAATTCCCTGATAAGGGGCAAAGCAAAAGATAAAAGTTAGAGAGGCTGAAGTCACCAGGGAGAGCTGTGTACCCACTGCCATCCCGATCAGTGGTGTGGGACCTTGGGGCACCCCAAAAGCCTCTGGCACTCCTTGAGCTCCTCCTTCCCTAGTGCACGTGGGTGCTGCCTCATGGCTATCAGCTATTAGAGAGTACAGTAAGTGACCTGTGGATTCAAAAATCTCACTCAGTCTTGAGTGATACTTGAGGTAAGTTCCCCAGAAACTGTGAAGAGACCCTAAACGCTTTCAAAAGTCAGGATGAAAATACCTGAGCTTTATCTAAACTCAGATTTAAAAGAAAGATGAGCAATTCAGTTGAATGGTTAGTTCAATAGGACAATGTCTGTGGTTTGTGGGTTTAGTTTTTTTTTGGTGTTTCATATATATAAAATACATACACACATGCACTGTACTCATAAAAGAGTGCAGTAACATCTAGCTATTAAATCTTATTCCATATTTTGTATTAAATGGCCAACTTTGAATCTAACTTGTGTGGTTTATATATATATATATATATATATATAAACAAGTTAATTTGATTATAGGAGGTATTTCTAAACTTCAAAGCTATTTATAAATTTCTAAGATTAAGCCTGCAGTTCCTGCATGGTTACAAGTGGAAACTTAACACATAAGGTATGAAAACCTTCGTCTTCCAGAGGTGACAGGGGTGGGTCTCCAGCAGGTGTAGGCTTGTAGTAAATATGTGTTTGAGTGGAGCTTTGGCAATCTACCAGTCGAGAATTTTGCTACTTGGAAGTATTTTGAGCATTTGTGATCCACGGGAGAGCAAGAGTTTGAGTCTGTGTGACCCTTGAGTGTTATTGAAGTACCCTCATTCAAAATCTATTAGTGGCTTCAGGTAATATAATTTAACACATTTTGGTTGGCAATAACTTTGAAAAACACATTAATCTTGCAATTTTGTGAGGTGTTTTTTTTTATCTAGAGTCGTTTTTCTGCCCAGATTCTTCATTTACCCAGAGACTTCTCCTGCTGTGATAATCATTTCTATCCAAGATTACATTTCTATCCAAGATTATTCAGGAAATAAAAATACCCAAACCTTTGAGTGGATTTAATCCTCACAGAGGAGTGGTGGAAAACCATCCTGATATAGGGCTGTTCACTGCCTGCTGCAGGAGACAATGCTGAAATCCTTATCAGTGTAAACAGAAAACATGGACAAAAGCTTGTCTGAGTGGGTACTTCTCAGTAAGTACTAAGGGCTAAGATTATCAAGGTCTTGTGAATTCCGGTTCTCAAGGTAAGGCTTAGTTAGGAATGTAAGTGTAAGACTTGACTGCTGAATCATGGCGGTTCTTGTTATTATGATGGCCGTTTTGAGAAGAAATGAGCTAAATATTGGTGGTTTATACTATGCTCACTTGAATAGCTTACAGAGCCATTTTCTCTTTTCCTTTCAGATGATGTTGCTCCATACTTCAAGACTGAACCAGGCTTGCCTCAGATACACTTGGAAGGAAATCGACTTGTACTTACGTGCCTTGCCGAAGGCAGCTGGCCCTTGGAATTTAAGTGGTTACGCAACGACAGTGAAATAACCGCCTACTCCAGTGAATATAAGTAAATAAAAACTATATAATAGTCTTCTCTAAGCGTAATTGCAAAATAAAAGAAACCCAAAACAAACACTCCCCTTTTCTCCCAAATCCCTAATACCTCAAACCAGCTTTATAGGTACTACTGGTACATTGCCAGGTTTTTTTTGGCATGAAGAATGACTGGTTTCTGCAAAGAAGTAAGATCTCTATGAGAGAGTGTCTTTTGCTAAAAATGATATTTGACATTTCAAACCGAAGGTCCTAACAGAATTTTAAGTACCAAAAATGCTTTTTTTGGTGGAGATGCAACCTTTCATGTGTTTGTAATAAATAGCAGGTGTATTCCTTAGGTAAATGTTACATATGATGTGCTACTCATCCTTGAATGAAGATAAGCTTTGTGGGACTATCCTTTTCAATAAGTTCTAGAAGGTGGCCTATCTAAATTGCATATGAAACTTTCAGTTTTACTTCTGAGAGTGTGAAAATTTATCTTCTATTTTAACAAACTTCCTCTGTAATTGTGCACTTTGCCTCCCAAGACCTCACTGACTCCCTTCATATTCCACAAGACATCCCATTGTGGAAGAGAAAAAACCATACTAGGGCTAATCAGAGGTGCATTTTCGCTGGCAGGCAGCAGATGGCTGGCCAAATATCGAAGTTCAAAACAGCCAAGTGTTATCTGCTTTCCTTTTATTGGGAGCATTAACAGGCTCTCCCCTATGCAATTGGCAATTTCCATAACCTTATAGCAGTTCAATATTTCTGTAACTTATCTGTTGCTCTGAAATTTTGTTGAAGTTACACGGTGAATTCAGAAGTTAAAAGGCATGGGTATGTGACAGACAGAGCCCTTGTACAGCATTTGTCTCTTTAGCCAAGCAAGCTAAATGCTGCAATTTCATCATTACGTTGCTTAAGGTAAGGAAAAGTTGTGCTCTGTCACTATAGACAGAATTTATAGTATAGATTAGTATAAAAATGCAAGTAATGGTATAAAGTTCTATATTGTTACACAAGGTAGTAGTTATTTTTTCAATGATTTTCAAAATTGTAACTAACATTAATTCTATTTTTGATATAATTGACATTTATAGAGTAGTAGGGAAAAAAGTCCCTTAAATAACAAGTTAAAACTCTTTCTTGCCATTTAGCACATAAAGTATTTAGCAGTTTCCAACCAAACATACAATTCTGTGTGTACTTTCCTAGAAATTAAAGACTTGATTTAGGTGAGACCACTTAGTCCTGAGTAATTGCATCTATTAATGTTTGCTGTTCTGAAACCTTGAAATCCATTGATATCTCAATTTGAGCCATATACACATTTAGAACAGATTTGTGAATACTTACTAGAAAATAAAAACCCAACTCTAATAGCACAATTAATCACAGAAGGTTTGAATGTCACTTTGTGTAAATGCCACTTGTTTTGATCAACAGCAGTCTGTTGCAGCTTCTTGGTAGAAGGAGCGGACAACAACTCTCAACCACGTAAGACACTGAGAAAGTAAGACAAAGAAATGGTGAGGAAGGACAAAAAACATGAAAGTGGAATCAGCAGCAAAGCAAAGGTTGGAGCTCAAGCTTTGTAGATATGCTAGTCACTGAGAGACTCACATTGCATGATAGTAGGAGAAACCCGAATAGGAATGTGTGACATTTTGAAACAAAGATCAGAATGCGATGGTGTTTCTTAAATCAGTGCACATCCTAATGCAAAATGAGAATTTGACTGTGTATTACAGTGCAAGTTGGAATCGTGTATTGGACACACCTGTCCCAAGCTGTGCGTATACATATCTATGTACAGTACCTTGTTCTTATCATTGGACTTAATTTAATCTAGTCAGCATCAGGTCATGATACAAGCTGCATATATTAATTTTGCATTTTTATATTTTTCTTCATTTTATTTCTGATTTCATCTGCTACAGAGGTAAGAGGATAGAAAACTACTGCTTTATAATAATAAAATCATATTGATCGAAAACACTAGTTTAAAAGTTGCAGCACTTCTACTACAATGCCAGTCAGAAATAAGTGAAACAGGGTTTCGATTCTGCAGGGATGCAAAACTTTAAATTTCAAATAGGATTATCTGGCATAGGTACATTAGGATGGAAGAAAGGAAGGAAAAGATATGCTTAGGTGTGAAAATTCCAGTTGCAGAATTTAAACTTTGACCCCATAATGGTTTGCTCTGCAGTTCTCCTGCCTAAATACTCTGTTTAAATGCATGAATCTTTCCAGTGTGACTTCTGCTGCAATTTAAATCATCAATCAAAGCTTTTTTTGTAATTGCTATTACTTGATGTGTCTCAGTTAAGGTCTATATTGTAACAGGCCAAAAGTGTTGAAAAGATTCTTATAACATACCAAGTGAGGAAAGAAGTAATTGGAGTTTTTGCATTTTGACATTGGTGACCCTGAGTGAACAGCTTTTCTTGCATAACGATGCTGATGATGTGCACAGCCTGGCTTTTATAGTGACCATGCATACTCTAGTTTGTATTAAGAATTTATAAAAACACCTTATAAATTCTTTGTGATCTGAGACACATGCAATGAAAGCAAATCAGTATTGCTGACTGCAGGAGCAATTTGGTTATGTCTGTAACAGTCCTTAAAGTTCAGGCAGTGACTTTCCCCCCCCCTCTTTGTTTTCATTTGAATTAAGATCTGCACCCAGGGTGCCTTCCGTGTTTGCTTTTGTGGACTGAAGGTATTGATTTCTTTGAGTTTAAGAAACTGAGGTCATGTCTAAGCAGCTGTACGCTTTGCTCCCAAACTTCTTAAAAGTATCTGATTATTATATTTGTCTTTTGAATTTTGAACACTTTTTAATTCTGTATTAAAACATAAGAAAGGACATGGAACTGTTGGAACAAGTCCAGAGGAGGCCACAAGGATTATCAGGGGGCTGGAGCACCTCCCATATGAAGATAGGCTGAGAAAGGTGGGGCTGTTCAGCCTGGAGAAGGCTGCGTGGAAACCTCATAGCAGCCTTCCAGTATCTCAGGGGGGCCTATAAGGATGCTGGGGAGGGATTCTTCATTAGGAACTGTAGTGACAGGACAAGGGGTAACGGGTTAAAACAAACAGGGGAAGTTTAGATTGGATATAAGGAGAAAGTTCTTTCCTGTTAGGGTGGTGAGGCACTGGAATGGGTTGCCCAGGGAAGTTGTAAATGCTCCATCCCTGGCAGTGTTCAAGGCCAGGTTGAACAGAGCCTTGGTTGAGATAGTTTAGTGTGAGGTGTCCCTGCCTATGGCAGGGGTGTTGGAACTGGATGATCTTAAGGCCCTTTCCAACCCTAACTACTCTATGATTCTATGAAAATAGTTAGATCAGTTGTTGCATAAGTCCCTTAAAAGTTTGAATAGATAATGAGTTACATGACTATCTAATTAAATACATTTGGTTTTAATTCTATTTTCACTATCATGGCTATTAAAAACCTGTAGCCTAAAGGTTCACTTTTAACTCTTAGAGCATTTAAAATTAGGGTGTAAATTTGAAATTCAGAGTGAAATGTAAGCGTTAGCCATCTTTTCTCCTTAGGTGTTTGATACCACTTCATCCCTAAAGTCTAACTCATTACTGTCCTGGTGATGGAGCACGTTATGCTCTGGAAAACTTCCCTTGAAGCTTTTTCTTTTACGCTTGTCACTTTACATCTTTCTATGGAAACTTTCTAAGCAACCAGTTTCTGGTTGGCTGTACTATTCAAAACAGGGAAACTGGTCTGACTTTCTGAAGTACTTGAAGATATCCTCTGAAACTTTAAATAGCCTCCTGACATCTGTACAATGGGAAAATCTTCTATCCTGAAAGTTAGACTGTAAACATAACTAAAGCAAAATTATGTCTTGTCGCTGTAAAAGTGGCATTAGTCTTTGACAGGAATTCAGTCTGTGAAGTAAGTCTTACTTTGAATTTAGACAGCAATGTTTGTATCCTTTTTCGCATCTCAGACAAGAAGTAGAATAGTGAAAGCATAGCAGAGAAAACAATATTTTTACTGTTAGGTCAATGGAAAAGTATATTAAAAAAGTAATCAGACATATGAGGTACATAAAGACTATTCAGAATTGTAAACACAGAAATTCTGTTAATATCTATTTAGCTCTTGCCCAGGTCTGCAATTTTCAACATGGTCTAAATAATGTAAAGGTATGTTGTATCTCTATTTTTAACAGTTTTGTTATTTAATTCTTCTAATTTTGCTTGCCTTCCACGCACATGGTTACCTGGTAGATCTGCTGAGAAGCCAAGAGCTCAGTAGGTTTGGACTGACTTGGTGGAATTCCCAACGTAGGTGGGATTTTCACTGTAGATTTTTAAAGGACTTTCTTTTCTTCAGGCAGCAAATTAAGAATGTTTCCTGCTGAAACTCAGGGAGTCAGAAAAGAAAACTCAAGTAGGACACTTGTGATCCAATTGATCTGTTTTGTCCTAGTGGCAGGAAAAACTAACTCTGCATTACTGTCTTAGTAGAGATGAAGACCAAAGAAAGAAGCTTTTACGTTTGCCTCTATTTAATAGACAAGCAGAGGAAGAAATGTTAGCAATGTACAATACTAAATCACTTATTTTCTCACTCTCTTTCTTATGACACATTCATCAGGCAACAGGCACCGTGGCTAATTCAGAGCTATATGCTCACTGGCCAGCAAGTACTGGTGTGCTGATGGACATGTTTGCTGTAACTCCCAAAGAAGTTGAGTCTTCTTTATCTTTCCAGTACAAACTGTCATAATCACTGGGAAAAATGTGCCAGTTGCTTCAAAGGGGGTCCAGAGGTGTCAGCTTAGGCACACAGACAGCATGATTGCCTCCAACTCGTATACTCTGGAAGCCAGACTCTCCTAGGAGTTACAGTAGATGCTGAAATGTGTCCGTGGTGTTGGGCTTTGTTTTAATTCACTGTACTTGGTTGTCTAACCTATTATAGTCTATTATTTGATTGTATGTATAATGCAGTGATTATGGTCTTCATTTATCACTTAAACTAGATTTCTTCTACCTTCTTTGTTTTGATGCTGTCTGATCCTGTTCAGATACTAAGCTCTGTATGTGGGTGTGTGTAGTGTATGAGGAGAGATGATTTCTTTTAGTGGAATTAAATTTTGAAGATTAAAATTCAGCACTTTTATTTTTCTGTATCTTCTCATAAAGACTTTCATTAATCCTACCGTAATATCTCCAGAAGGTGACCGTGGGAACATGTGCTTTGATTAATGTTTGTTTAATACAAGATTATCTATATTATTCATGTGTTTTATTCACATTAAAACTGTGCCTATTGGCTCATTTTCATGTGGAGTAATCAGATGTAGTTGAACAAGGAAGGTGGGCATTAGTGGGCTAAGTGACTAAGCGCGGTGAAGGGCAGAACAGATACAGCATAGATTCCCCTGCATCTTTTCTAGTACTCCTCTGAGTTACAGTAGTTGCACAGTGTAGTAACCATCTTTTTTCTTTCCATTGGAAAGCTTTGATATTCCTTGCAAGTCTTCTTAATGCCTGTGTTTAGACTGCAGTTGTCTTGTGCCACCTCTGAACAAATTACCAGGCAGCTTTGCCTTAAGAATGAGGATAGATAAAAACCTAAGGAAAACATGTAAGTCTGTATTTCAAGAGAATTTGTAGAGAACTAACTGGTATTTATCAAATATAGATTTTAAGGCTGAAAGTTATTTTATGCTTTTCAAGTATTTTTTTTCTTCTATACGTTACAGACCATATTATAACCAAAGACCAGAGATTATATGAGAATGCTGTTTGTGAGAAAAACATTTGAGACAGTGTATAAAATATTTGAGGAGAAATAAGAAATACCACACAAAGTAGCATTGATCTGCCTTTAGGAAGAAGTGCACTATAATTCTGCGTTCTGTCTTGTAGGTACATCATCCCAGCTCTGCAGAGGTCTGATGCTGGCTTTTATCAGTGTATCGTACGGAACAGGATGGGGGCATTGCTGCAAAGAAGATCTGAAGTTCAAGTGGCATGTATGTTTGAAGTTATTCTGTCATTCTTTAGTTAACTAATTCTTTTTGTGGGTAAAAAACCGAACATACCAATAATATTTGCTAGTCTGAAAAGTTATTAGATGCCATTTTTCATACATTTCTAGATTATTGCATCACAGAAGTTCTCTTCTGGGAAACAGTTCAAAGCGCTGCAACATTAAGTCTTTAGAGCAAGCTCTGAGCTGTTCAAAGCCATCAAAATGAGATCATTTGGAGATAGCTGTAGCATGAAAAAACTATTATACCTTTCCCTGAATACACAGGGATTAAGAAAGGCCATATAGCACAAAACAAACAATCAATCAAAACAACAATAACAGCAACAAATAAAAGCACAGAGGATATCTGAAAGAAAACTGTGGTGAAGATAGCTCCATGAAGATTTCGGATCATAGTCCTTGTAATACAAAATAAGCAGTTGCTTCACGACAAAACCCTTGCTAACAACGAACTTTACACTGAAAGAGGGGAGATTTAGATTAGGTATAAGGAAGTTGTTCTTCACTATGAAGGTGCTGAGTGCAGGTTGCCCAGTGAAGCTGTGGCTGCCCCATCCCTGGCAGCATTCAGGGCCAGGTTGGACGGGGCTTAGAGCAACCTGATCTAGTGAAAGGTGACCCTGCCCATGGCAGGGAACTGAAACTAGATAAGCTTTAAGGTCCTTTCCAACCCAAACCATTCTCTGAAAGTTTATGCATCTGTTCTCAGCACCTTTGTGAACAAAACCCCCCAATGTTTGTGCTGTGTTGATTTGGACTATGCAGAATTTTTTAGTACATCTCTGATTTGATATCTAACTCACATTTGGAAACATTAAATTGATTTGCTCTGGAGTTAGTGCTAGTTAACATGACCTTAGAAATGATCATATTCTCCAGTCTTCTTTTTGTCAGTTAACATATAGGAAATATAATACAAATAACTTGTGTGGAAATAATCTTAGAATTAGGCCTTATTCTTTTTTCAAAGTAAAAACATAAAGTAATTTAAAAAAGATGAGATTTGTATACTGTGTGTAAGCAATCTGATACATGGATCAAATTTCCTCAGGGTCAGTTACTGGAAATTCAGTAGTAGTAAATGTCACTTGATAAGTGGAATTTAGGGAAATTGAATTATTTATTAGAAACCCAATTGCAAGGAACTGATTCAAGTTAATTACTGTGTCATGAGGGAAATTACATGGAATTTCCTGTGTTTTAATATAGGAACAGTTACAAATGACACTATGTAAGTTTTGGTATTGTGTTCATCAGTTTGCTGTATTACAGTATGTTATACTGCTTATCTGTACTGCCAGTAGTATCAATACTTTGATCTCTCAGTGGTACTGTTTCAGAAATGCTGGGAGCTAATGTCGAAAGTAAACTGCTGCTAAAATGGTATTTTCCTTCTCTGCCTCCTACCAGCCCTTATGCCCCTGCTGTACACACCTCCTCATGACCTTGTGCACTCTGACGTGTGTCAGACCCTTGCAAGTACTTTTGTGAATAGTCTTCCTCTGTTTTGAGTGAATTGTGTTAAGTCACAGAGGATTTACTGAAAGCTGGTGCAAATGAGCATAACTGAGTGGTATGGGGCACCTCCATCAAGTTTAGGAGGGGAAGATGGAGCAGGGGAAGGTGTGGGTGGGATTCTTCTGCAGCAGTGAGCCATTAGATAAGCCTAGATGCCTCTAAAGTTGTATCTACAGGTGTGGTTTCAGGGGACAAAGGCTCTGGTGGCAGTACCAGAGAAAAATGTACCCATTTTCTCCTCCATCCCACTAATCGTTCCCGCTCTTGTATGGCAACGGAGCACACTATCCCTTTAGGCTCAGCAGGAAAACTTGTTTGTGCAGCTGTGAACTGGGAAACTTCTCCAAAATTTAAAAAGAGCAACAATTATTTTGTAGGGTTTGTTAAAACCGTTCCTTCCCCCCGGTTTAATTCCCTGTGCAGCTGTAGCGGCACTTGTACTAGTGGAGGGAACTGTTCTTGAGGAAGTACTTGTGGGAACGGTAGTGAGAAGGAGGTGCAGGAATACTTTACCTTGATATTCCTGCTAAAGAAGTTAGTCTCCTGAAAAGACAGCTTTATTCCCCTCTGAATGAGGGAAAGATTTGCAATAAAGCGTTTTGTTTCTCCAGGCTTTTGTGTGTGTGCATTTGGTTGTTCTTGAGAGAGAAACAAGTGCCATTGTTTACTTCGGTTATAATTTTTTCCCATTTAGTTTGTAGTTCTGCATTGTTGAACAAAGCTAAAAAGCTTTCTTTGAAGGCTTCTGTGTCTGAATTAAGCAGTCCGTTTATTTCATAGAATGGTTAGGACTGGAAGGGACCTCTTTATTTCCCTGATAAAGGCAGAGACAAAGCAGGTCTTATATGACTTAAGGGAGACCTTTGATCTCAAACCTTTAGTGACTTATATGGCTTCTGTATTGAAACTTGCAAGTCAGACTCGCACTTGATTCCTGCAGGTGAAGTGTTTCACAAGTTTTAAATACCTTCTTCCTCCTCTCCCACCCAGCAGCTCCAATGGTAGCTAGTGATACCATTGTTTTCTGCATTCTTACTTTTTGATCTAAATGAATTGATTTAAGCTGTGTGGATATAATGAAATACCTGATATTTTACCATGGTTTACTTTTTGCTTATTCTTGAAAACATAGCAGAAAGCAGCATCCGAAAGGGTTACTAAGATTATCTTATCCAGTCATCAAGAGTTACAGGGAGTTTTTTATGTTAGATGTTACCCCCAGAAGGGTCCACAGGAACTATTTCTGCCACTGAATAAAGGATGCTTTCCAATACACTAAGATTGTTAAAGTTGAAAGGCACAGTTCTTAATGCGCACTGAGCAAGATCTGAGGTGTTTTCCATGTCCTAGATCTCTGAAGTAGCAGGGAACCTATTCAGTAATTAAAAATCTCTTCTCAATACACGCTAACATATTATTTAACTGAATGGGAACAGCTATTTGTGAGAAAACTGCTGGGTAAATCTTAATTACAGAATGGGCTTAAAACCTCTTGGATTGTGAAGACTAAAATAATCACATGACAGTGAAGTTAATTAGATCCACCTACGCGGTTTGAAACTCCTTTTCAAGTAGGTGATCTGATTACAGTTGTAAGAAATACGGAGCAACAGAGGAAGTACAATGCTGATTATGTCTGAATAAATAACTTGAAAATCACAAAGATGATTAAAGCTTCTTTAAAATACCATGTGTTTTTAACTTCTGCTCTTGTTCTGTCTCTTCTCATCTCCTGCCATCACAGACGTGATAGTTATCTATGTTTCAATGTCCTTTGCACCACTCTCTGCAACAGAGAACTCATAGAGAACCCTGTGGTCCTTAAAAAAGATAAAAAGGGAACTCAGTGGCAGACGCGAGAGCAGTTTTCTCTGTGTGTCGGTTTTTTGGTTTAAAGCAAATTAAAATGCATAGAAGTTCTTTGGATCGTGAAAAAATAGGAGCCTAAAGCCGCATTTATTTTAATGGATAGGAATGTGATACAAAAGGCAAAAGAAAAACAAGAAGACGTTCACTGAATTTTTACAAGGACCTCATAGGTACGTGAACTTGTCTCTGAAATAAAACCTTCAGGGACAAAGCTTCTGAAATGGTTTTCTTTCTTCCGTTATTTATTTGTTGTTAAAAGCTGCTCTTTAATTCTACAGATGCCTTTGTAAATGTCAGAGACCTGGATGCTCTATTTAAATTATAGTGTAGTGCCAGAACTAAGTGCTACCAACACGACTAGAGACTTGCTCTTTTGGTTTCCATTTGGCTAGAGTGGCTTACCTGCATAGCTCTTATTACACACTGGTTGGACTATAAGTGATACAGCTGCTGTCTATTTGTGTGGCTATGGATAAAAGCATTAAAAACTCAACAGTGACTAAAAAATCGATAAACTTATATACACCATTCCTTTTATATACATTTTATATATACCATTTATTTTATGTCATGCGAGGATTTATTAAACAAAAGGATTTATTTATCAAGGATTTATTAAGATGAAACAAACCTTCATTAAAATGTCACTTTCAGTTAAAACTGCTCCATTATTGCAAAAGAATACTGAGACTATGCTGACTCATGCACTTCTGACTTGCACTAGCAGCGCTTGGATTTACCTTATGCCATATATTCATCCAAAACTATATTAATCAAAACTGTTTCATGATCTGTAGTATCATATTGACTAATTATAGCAATGCCAGTGACTATTGTAAAACACATTTATTTCTCTGTCCATTGAAAAGAAATGTGGAGGAAAAAAACCAACTTCCATGACTCTTATTATAATTTCCTTCTTTGCAGACATGGGGAACTTCATGGACACAAACCAGAGAAAAACAGTGACTGAAGGACAAGCTGCAGTTCTAAACCTCCTACACATACTCAGCTACCCAAGACCACAAGTAACATGGTTTAGAGATGGACACAAGATTATACCAAGCAGCAGAATGTAAGTCAGTTTAAAGCTTAAACTACCCCCACCATAAAGTATGATTAATTATATTTGATAACACAGCTTACACTTTAAGTACACTAATTAAGCTTTAAAGAGAATAAAGTAGCTTTGTTCATACTAAGTTTGAGATAAATTACTATTTTAAGACCATCCCTGAACTTCCTAAGCAGTTTGACAAAATAATTCATGTGGTTTTAATGGTCCTGGTGCAGCATAAGGCACTAGATACGCGGAATGTCTGCGCTGCCTTCACGCTAGTCATTTTCATGATACATTTTGGAAAAGTAAATGCTTATCTCTCAATTATGTTTACTTGAATGCACTAACTTAATGAATCCTAAGTTTTTTCTCTTCTTAATATATGTCTGGGTCTTTTTTTTTTTACTTAGAGTTTTGTTTAACACTGTTTTCCTTATGATAAAATTCTGACTATTGATTAGTTTTCAGTCTCTTTTCAGCCTACACTGACAGTTTTATTTCATGACTCATTAGCAGCTCACCCTCTAATGGCACAGTACTTGCACCTTGATTAGTTATTATCTCAAGGTGTGCTCATTTATCCTTTCCTGAAACAGTTAGGAAGCCATCCTGTGTTTTTATCTGCACGGTTTTATTTAGACTGAAGGGGTTAGCTGCAACATTAAAAACTGGAGATAAAAATCTTTTTTTACTTGCCTAATTTATTAGGAAGCTGTTGAAATGCCGTGAATGTTGGTGCTTATTTATATCTGTGTGCTATATTTTCCTGTATTCAAAGGGATAGATGTGCTAGCAACTGACGGTAATGGGATATTGCTAAGTTCCAGAGAGATGGTGAGTTTTTTAGAGTTTAGATTAGAAAGGGAAAACTCTTCTTGGATTTTAATGTTATCGATCTGTACTGTATATTTTGCTGCTGCTTGTGTGCATTTTTTTTTTCAGCCTGAAAGCCAGTATTCTAGGCTTTTTGGAACTGTTAAAATTAGTATTGCAGGGATGTGAAGAAACTATGTAATAATTTATGAATAATTTAATAGTAATTTGATGGGAAACAGCTGGAAGATGAAACAATGGGTTTCTGGGCAATCTCTTGAAGAGAGCTAAGTGACAAATCCTAAGTTATTAACCATTAAGAATCTGCTTCCTCCACTCCTGCAAATTTACTTTTGTCAGTGCTGAGAATACACAAATCAGCAATTTGCAGCTGGGGAATAAAGCCTGTTGTCCAGGTAACGGGCAGTTTCTTGGGAAGTTCTATGGAGGAGCAGAATGGAAAGACCTAGGCAAGCATGCAATATCTGACAGTGACATTTATCTGAGTTCATTTCATTTGGTAAAATTGCAGGTAGAGATGTGTGTCATGTAACCGTTAATATAAAACCCTCATTTTCATATGCTCTACTTTACTCTTACTTCTACCCTCTTGGGATTATTGGAGTAAAAGCAGTTGTAATTCATGGCTCTGTGGTAATGCTTACAATGGGAAAACTGTAAAGCTGTTCTATAGGGGAGTGAAATATGCCTAAAGGTTTCCACATATATTTATTTCCCTGGTCAGATATTTTGTCTGAAACGAATTTGATGACATCTGTCTGGCCTGTGTAGGAATTTCCAAAAGCTTCTGCAGTAGAAGTACATGTGCTGGAAGTATAAACCTCCTTGGAAGTTTGATATATACTGTATAGTAAGCCTGATAAGTTCAGGAAGTGATGGATTTACGATACACATATGAATCATCAATGTACACTCTGTGCAGTAGGTCTGCTGGTCCCTCAAAGTACTGGAAAAAGCATATAGCATCCACTCACTGCTGTCTGTGAAATTCTGGGAGTATGCAGTTCTATAAATACAGGAAACATGAGACGTGGAGAGGATACATTTAAAACTGTGAGAAATGTAAAAATATCTTACAAGAGCTGTTGTTTGTTATCTGTGGAACAAGTTGTGCATTCAACATGTTTTCTGTACACAAAGAGGTGTACCATTTAAGTGGTCAGTTTAGCAGGTGATCCAGTTAGATTGATGCATCGGTTTGCCTGGGTCATGTCCTAAACTGATCAGTTAAATTGATACAAGCACCTTGTATGGATGCTCCTTAAACTGATTAAAAGTACCTTATATTGCTAAATCAATGTAAGGCTTTTTTAATGCTCTTAAACAAGCTTAGACTGATTTGGCTAAATCAATCAGCTGGTCCATCAGCTGTGATAATGATTTCTAAGAGTGACATTGCTGCAGTGTATGTAGACGAAGGAAAAAAGCAGTGCTAAAAATGAGGTCAGTAGTGGTGCTTATGATGCAATTCCTTCAATTGCTGGTCAAGTTGACATGCACTCAGAAGTCTTAATGTACATGTACTTAACCCTGGATCACTTTTATGCCATAATGATCCTGATGCTTATTTACACGGAGCTACTGTCACCACTAGAACAAATGCATTTCACTTATGCGGAAGCAGAGACTGTGCTGGGTTGTCCATATGTGTAAATACAAAGGATTGAAAGTAAGGACTAGTCCTGAGAAAAATAATTCATAACGTGCTTTGAGGAATATCATATAATTGGCTCTGCAGGAGGGTTTCCCTAGCAGGTTTAATGTAATATATGCTGTCGTCTTTCTCTTTCACTGTTTGCCAGTATTTGGGACATTTATGGGAGGGGTTCTTCCAACTATTCATTGTTCCAAAAGTCATGTATTTCTAGGGAGCCAAGATAACAGAATTGCTGAATTGTCTGTATGTATTGTTTTACTGATACTTTACAATATGTTAAGAAAGACTCCAGTTTGTTCTTTGTGTTTTCTAGCAATAATTTATACACATTAATGCAGTTGCCAGTTCTAACAAGTCATGGAATCATGGAATAGTTTGGATTGGAAAGGATCTTAAAGCTCATCCAGTTCCGACCCCCTGCCACAGGCAGTGAAACCTTCCACTAGGGCAGGTTGCTCCAAGCCCTGTCCCACCTGGCCTTGAACACTGCCAGGGATGGGGCAGCCACAGCTTCACTGGGCAACCTGAGCCAGTGTTTCACCACCCTCATCATGAAACATTTCTTTCTTATACCTAGTATAAATCTACCCTCTTTTAGGTTAAAGCCATCGCCCCTTGTCCAGCTGCTATAGGTCCTGTTCAAAAGTTTGTCCCTTTCTTTCCTATAAGCCCCCTTTAAGTAGTGAAAAGTCTCCCTGGAGCCTTCTCTTCTCCAGGCTGAACGAGCCCAACTCTCTCAGCCTGTCTCCAGAGCAGAGGTTCTCCAGCCCTTGCGCATCTTCATTACCTCCTCTGGACTTGCTCCAACATGGATACATCCTTCTTATGTTGGGGGTCCCAGAGCAGGCCGCAGGGCTGCTCTGCTCTCCCACCAGAGCAGATATTCCCCAATTCTGATGACCAGATGCAAAATCCCTGTAATTCCCTGTTTCTCTTACTGATCATTAGGCTGAAAATTGTCAGTTGTTTAGGCTGGGGAAAATAGAAGAGATTCTGTGGCTAGGTTAAGTTTCACTTTTTTTGAGTCAGAATACTGGCCTACTCTATGAGTCTGCATCGCTGTGGTATTTTCTGGGATAACATTTCCTTTGAGACATAGGCAGAGGTTTTTTTCAAACTGCATATTCTGTTTGATTTAGCTCCCAGTGTAACTCATGGTGGGATTTGGTAGCAAATAACTATGTATTCATTCCTATTTTAGTGGTGTTGGTGCCATAATATTTTGTTAAAGCCTCTGGATAAAGACAAGAATAGCATGACAGGTTCCTCCTACATGAGTTGGCATATGAAGTCAACAAATCCCTGTATAATATATGAATGTGAAGCAAATGGCCTGCATATACTCATGGGGTTGTTGTTACAGTTTATGACTTGAGGCAACTAACAAATCTGCAGCAGAGCTCCTGTGACATGATGGTGTGTGTTTAAAAATTTAAGTCTTAATGTTTTCTCCTCTTCTCTTGGTACACTTTGCATGTATATAAATTCTGGCTTTTGTGCTTTATCTGTCACCAAAACCTCAGCTTGGTATTTTAAAGAGGTATTTCTAGTTCATCCGAAGAAAGCTGTCTTCATAGAATCATAGAATAGTTAGGGTTGGAAAGGACCTTAAGATCATCAAGTTCCAACCCTCCTGCCAGGAAAGTACAAAGTAGAGAATCAGAGAGAAGATCAACAGGTCAAGAACAAGAGGAAAGAAGCAAGGAGAGGAGTTAGGGTTTAGGATGTGTTTTATTATTACCTTACATGAGAATTTCCCAAGCAGTTTTAGAAAAGACTTCACGTTACTCCTAGACAGATTAATGTTTTCCAAATACACCAGCAGACTAATATGGAATTACAAATGCACTATTATCCAGGGCCTTGACTGATGGGGTGATTTCAGTTGTTTCTCCTCATACCTTACAGAACACAACAGCATCTTAAAAGGTAACTGCATCAAAAGAAACTGCTACTCTGAGATGCCAAGTCTTCAGCTTGCCTGTCTGGGTGTACTTCATTGGACTTAGAAGCAGAGCACGTTGAACTTTACACAAGGCATGTACAGTGCCTTGGAGAGGCACAAAGGACAGTAGCACCATCAAGGTCTACAATTGTCTTTCGGTTGTGGTATTGAGGAGTGAAATTCCTAATACTCTTAGAGGATTTTGTTACCTTTTGCTGAGTCAAGGACTTGTTCACCGAAAAGGTTCACTGTAGCTGTGAATTCATTTACTGGTGCCTTCTTTAAGGAGAAAACTACTATGAAGACATTATTGCTGTCTTCATTAAGTTTCTTATAGTGAAACTATTTTTATTCCCCCTATTATGCTGCAGTGAGATGAGTATTAACTCATGTCTTTTGTTAGTGGAATTATGCCTGACACAAACCAGGAAAGGTCATTTTCCAGTCTCATGGAAAGGCACTTCTGGGCTGTCCCTTTCAGCTGGGTGGACATTTTGTCACTTAGTTAACTGTTAATGAATCAAAACACTAGAAATGCACTTCATCCCACTAGTATTCAAACCACGACAACAGGGAAGA